TCCCGCACATTGCGGACCAGTAATTCATAGTTCCTCGTTCCCCACACACATACGTATTGTAATATCGCTACTTATAGCCCCCGCCAATGTTAACTTCTTGTAACCCCCCTTTAAAGCTTGCCAAACAATTTACTGATTGTCCATAAGGATAGATTGTAAATAAACAAATGGAGAAAAAAAAAAAAACTTGTTATTAGTTTGGTTCAGCGTAATATCGAGTCGAGCCCTCTCGACTAGAATTTTCTTACTTTTTTCTTTTTTTTTTTTAAGTTGCTTATCAAATATCATATTGATTTATTTTCAAAGTTTAAAATATCATCGATACGATGTTTAAAAAATATTCGACAACCCTAGTATGTATGTATGTATGTACATATAGAAGAATCATCTCAAAGTCCAGGGTATCAGCTAGCGGGACAATGCAGATTAAAGCTCTGTTATTTATTTATCTAGCTTTCTCTATCTATAGCTACCTCTTCTTTCTCTCTCACAATCTCCGTCTCTCTCCGCCCATCACTCTCTGTCCATCTCTTTCTTTCTGCTGACACTACCAGCTGTATGTAAATATTTGTAAATATGTACATATATGCCACTCTATAGTCCAAAGCAAGGCTCACAGCGTAGCTTTAGTTGTTATTTGTATATATCAAGTAGTAGTAGTCGTAAAGTAGTTGCGATCTATTTCTATTTGGAAACATTTACTTACAGGGGATGGCAGACGTTGAATCGTGTGGATCTGGTTGATAGTCCTCATCAGGGAAGTAATCAATTTTAATGCAATTGAATGAGTCCATTTCAAGACCTGTAAAAACATGATTAGCAATGATAATGACAACGATTTTAAGATCCATAATTCGTTGCCAGATATTCAGTGGTCAAGGAAGTCTAAAATGTTACTATTTTATTATTACTATATATGTATACATATTTACATGTACATACATATTCCATTCACACTTTACTAATCATTAATTCAGCCTATATGGAGATATGGGTGCTCACTTTGGGAACAGCTGCTTCTCACCTTAACTCAAATACATCATCAACTGATTTAATCAAATAAAACACTGAATGTAATTCGCTTACCGTTGATATTTCTCATCTGCCATAAAAGAATATAATTATAATTATACATATTTTTACATATGTATATACATATGTAAGAAATTATCTCTTTATATGTTGTATATGTATATATTCGATCCTCTTGTAATTTGCAGAATGGAAAAAGTGGTATCTATGTATCTTTAGAGAGCTTCGCGACATGCATGAGAAACAGTTATTGGATAGGTTTTTGGCAAATGAATCAGTTCAGCCAACAGCGTACGTTAGATGGCGCTCAATTGGAGGCAGTTGTCTGGTTTATTTGTTTGTTTGATTTACTGACTGACTGACTGACTAACTGACGTCTCTAGATTAACTGCAGTGATGTTTGTGTGTGCCGTTCATTTAGCTGTGCCTCGCTTATTAACGCGCAATGACAGTACAAATCGCGTGTACCACATGACGTATACGCAATGTCATCGCCTTTCACATTTATTCTAATTTAATGTCTACCCCCCTCATACCCCATACCCCACTGTCCATTTCACTCACCTGGCAGCGTTGTGCATAAAATCCAGAGACTAGATTTGGTATACTTCGTCACATAGGCGCCATCGTCCAGTGCATTAAAGTTGGCCGTCCCATTGTAGTTAACATTGGGCAGCTTCTCCTCCGTGAACAGCCACTGGGGGCCGGCCAGGGCGGCGATAACGATAGCCACCGAAATGCTGTAATAGATGCCAAGTTTACTATGTTGCAGTCTATGCATGCGCCAAAGGAATGCGAATGGCCTCCCCCACAAACACGTACATACACAGACAGAGAGGGAGACTTATGTGCATGGGTGCGTGTGTGTGTCTTTGTGCTCCCGCGTCTGACTGCTGATTCAAAAAAATTTGATATCTGTGTCGTTAGCAACAGCGTATGCTAAGTAAGTGTGCCCGCCGTAGCACAACCGTAAATTTAGCTGCTCCACAAAAGCACAAGCCAACAGCAAATTTCATGAAATGGTAAAGCCAAGAAGAAGCTGAGCTAGAAGACAGCCCAAATGAAAACTGAATTTGATTTCTGTTAACAAGATTTTTAAAAATACTTGAAGAGTTTTAGGGCTGACCAAATATAAACAAACTAAATTGCAATAACATAAAAACTACTCAAAATATGTCATTGCGTCTGATAACATTTGTCACCCACATTCATGTCCATTTGAATGGAATATCACTTCATGGTAATGATTGCCCCAAACGATCGTCCATGTAGAAATATTTAATTTTTTATGAGGATCGCTCTACACTTGCAGATGTACTTCATCGGGAGGACCTCTAATATGAAAAAAAAAAAAAAAAAACACTCAGTTTAGGGGTAAATAACCCGCGAATCTCTCAGCAAGAAGCTCCGGATCTTCACGTAAAAGACTTGCTAAGTGACCGGAATAACTGCGTCTTTTTCTTAGCTATCAAATTATGTTGGCCTGTGTAATTAAAGAGCTTTAAATTCTTTTTATACCCTGAACCCATTGAAAATGGGAAATCAGGGTATAATGGTTTTGT